ATAATCCTAATACTCTTCTCTGAAAGCCCTCTCCTAAGATATGGCATTCATTTGTCTCCAATCGTTAATAATTGTGTGTACTGTGTATAATGTCCCTCGTCGAGAACTTCTTAAACAGTGTTACAAGACAAACTCTTACGATGTTAAATTATATGTTTTGTTAGTTTCATGCAAACTGAAATTTACATCACGTTTCATTTCGAGATTGTTTGATTTTAATTTATTACCGAGAATAACGAAACGTAAACCTCGTTCGTCAGAACCAAGTTCAGTTTTTCTCGATATTGTAATTTCAGTTTAAATTTTGTTACTCGTGCAAAAAAAAGTTGGTTACGGAATTATCTGTAAGTTAAAGTAAAGCTATACGCCATGTAGGCGCTTGGGGGAGGGGTAAGAAGTGTTATGGCGTCGTAAGGAATTATTTGGATCTAATTTTAATACTTTACACAAATGGAATGAGTTAAGAATTGTCCACTAAGCACGCAAAACTGTAAATCTGCATATTTCTTCTATAACGCTTCACTTGGTTTGAATCTACTTGCTCTAGAACGAAGATTACCACGGTCTTCGTGATTTAATACTCCATTAACCTCGAAATTACCCAATTTAGAATCTCTTTACAAAACATTGAATCCTAAATTGTTAATTTACACATGCGTGGTACCCACATCTGAAACGGCAATACTTTTACACGTAACACAAATTACAGTCAAAACAAAATTAATCCGTATTTAAATACCATTTCGTAAATTTCTGCAAATGTGATTTCTGTTTTTTTTATGTGCTGTCCTGTATAATGAGATTTGTTGGTACGGGTTGATCATTCGTGCAAGAATTTCTACCAGATGTGTAAACATTTCAGCGACTTTGAAGCCACGGGTTAAGTACGTTTTACCCCGAGTAACGTACTACAAGTGCTAAACTCATTACTAGCAGCTTAAGGAAGATTGTTTCGCGAACCAAGTTACATTTTACTGTATATACCAACCTACTAACACAAATTTGACGGCTTCATTTGACATTTTACGATTTTACCAACATTTCTCGACCTGATCGTTGCTGCAATATCGACTTTAAAGCTTTTGTATGGTCACTAACATTTAACAACACTGTTTTAACTTTACAGGATTTAGTATATAATTTTAGTGTAATTATCGAACTGATTTGGAACGTGTTCAAGAGGATATGATAGTGTCTTTGAAGACGTACTTTCGAGAACGAGATATTACGAATAACCATAATGTGAATCCCGCTATCGATACGTAAGATTGTGTGATGGCACTGTAGGTATCGATTCTCGAGAAATAGCAATTCCGAATCGATAAGTAAGCCAAAGTATGAAGTGCACACTTCTATAGCCTAGGAAAACAATGGCTTCTCGCTTGTTTCTCGCGAGTCATAATTCATGTGGACACTCAGTCACACTGAAACACATAAATCAAGCAGAAATGTTACATGACATGGTCAGGGAGGCTGTATGATGCAGATTCGCATGAAAGGGTTGGTCCAGTCCGGCACAATGAAACAATAACATTACGTCAACGAGAGAATAAGATTTATTCACAGTTAGTTCACTAGCAGAATTAAGTTCATTTTATAACATCCACGTAAATTTGCACTTGACAGAAATATACAATACGATGTCTCAAAATTATTATTACCGGAAAGGTTACCTAAGCGGTAAAGCATCTCGTCTGAATGTCATAGACGTTCAGTCATTAGGTTTACACTAAGTGGACTGCGAACCATGGATGGCTGTCTTCTGGGATGGGAGACGTTTACCGACGTTTCAGAGGTGATCGGTGTCTCTGAAACGTCTGTAAACTACACGGCGCAACATCCCAAAAGACTCATCGTAGTAAATGGTAGTCAATTCAGCTGGTTTATTGCCTGATTGAACATCGTATTTTCTCTCCCTACCAATTTTTTTGTATG